TTCCATACTAGAGCTAAGCAATATTTTTTGACTTAAAACTTTATTTGGCAAAAACTGCAGATTTGGTGATACCAAAACATTTAATGAATTTGTGCCAATTTTCCTAAATTGTTTTGGTCAGAAAAACCCTGAACAAAATTGCAAAATAACTGAAACATTTCAATATTTTCAAAATGCAACATTTTGAGTGTTTTGTTTCAAATGTTACTCTAATTAAAAAATAAATAAATAAAAAACATGTCAAATGGGCTCATTCTACTTAAAATGAAGGATTTTTGTTGTTTTTTTAACTTTTCAATGTGCCAATAATTTTGAAAATTTTCATTTTTGATTTGACCCAAAACAATTTGTTTTCTGATTTTTCAGAACTGAACTGAAAAATCCAATATTTTCATAGCTCTAATCCTGACTCCACACAGACAGGTTGTTTCAGTAAGGTCTGGACAAATGCATTCTGTAGCTATTTTTACTGCTGCTCCAAATAGGAGCAGTATGGGCTTCCCCTCTACACATGCTGCCAATGGCACTGGCAGTATGTATTTAGGTGTATGTGGGGTTCTGGCATGACCTTAGCACAGCTGACTAAACTTTCTTGGGACCACAGAGTATGCTGAGCACATCAGCCAGGCTTTTTGCCCAGCACTCAAAGGAGAATTTAGGTCAGTATATTTTCCTGCTCTTAATTGGGTACACTAAGGGGAAGTGAGAGTGAAAAGCTACCTGTATTTTCTGCTATTCCTTAATGCACCTTCATAAGAGATGCCGAGGATTGTGCCATAAAACATCTTTCTGAAGTAGAAATATTTACAATACAAGTGAGCAACCTATAGTACAGAAAGGTTAAGTGAACTACCTATGCTCATGCCGTAAGTCAGTGGAAAAGAATCCAAGATCTTAACTTTTAATCTCTTGCATCGACACTTGACAACACTTCCTGTCAATGGGAGTTACAGAGAGAAATTCCCTCAGTGCACATTAAAAATGTACCCCTACACTGCTCACTTTGGAGAATATCCTTACAGCCAAGAGAAAAAAGGGCAAGAAAATGCAAAAAGCAAACAATATTTGAAAGCATTTTTCTTTTTCTACGCAATCTGTACTTTTAAATGATTAGAAACATATATAAGCTTTAAATTATATATGGAAAAATATCTATTTTTATCAGTTTGTATTTCTGAGCAGCCATTTGCTCAAAATTTTGTAGCATATGTGATATCCTCATCATAAGCCTATAAAGAGAGATTGTACAGAAATTTTCCTTCTGTTTGTTTTATACTTCAGCAGCAACTGGGCTAAATATTTAAAACCTTACAGGAGACATTTTCAAAAGGTGGTCTCTTATGTGCACTTATGGAGCAATTACCAGTACTTGCTTTTTGTTGGATAAGAACACAGACATGGACAGAGATACAGTACTGTAATAAGGTGGACAGATTCACTATGATATTTCAGTACAGATAATGGTTACCTGCATGATGTGATTGACAGAATGTTAACACTGCTGTACTGAACACATTATTTTGTAATGAGATGAGTAAGAATTGAAATGAACTTTAAAGCCTGTAAGTGTCATTGTGTAATTGAAATGGATAATAGTCCAAACGCACCACATGAAACTAGAGTAACTGCATTTGAATATATTCAGAAAAATCCATGATCAAATCCATGATCAATCTGAATGATTTTATAGTGAAAGGCTCCACTGTTTCAGAATAGATTTGTGTGTGGACAGCATCACTTGAAATCCGGAGTCCAGCAGATGTGCAAGAAGGTATTCTATTTATTTATTTATTTATGTACACCTCTACCCCGATATAACGCTGTCTTCGGGAGCCAAAAAATCCTACCGCGTTATAGGTGAAACTGCGTTATATAGAACTTGCTTTGCTCTGCCAGAGCACGCAGCCCCGCCCCCCTGGAGCGCTGCTTTACCGCATTATATCCGAATTCGTGTTATATCGGGTCGTGTTATATCGTGGTAGAGGTGTTTTTAAATCAGGTGAACCAATGTTCCATGTACTTTCTAAAACATCTGTTTGCCTCCAAGCTCCTTCGAGACTTGTGACTCATTTGCTTACACATTTGGTTCTTTTCAATCACTAGAACTTCAACACACAAATGAATGGAAGGTGGGAGGATCAACTAATCTAGGATGCCACAAGGAGCTTAGCTGTTCATACAGCAGTAGCAGAGGTAGAAGGCTGAAGAGAAGAGTGATCTACCTTCTGATATCAACACTTCATTGAAAAGGAAGCTATCTCTGTTGCCATTATCCCACTGGGAAGGTGATGACCAGCTGACTTTACTCTAATGTCTCATTTTTACTACTCAGCAATGACCTGTTCATTGGCTGCCAGCAGAAAGAGAGAAGAGGAAAGAGAGATGAAAGAAGATTGAAGATAGGGAAGCTCTGATCTTACCCACCCAGGAAAGAGCTATCTGATAGTAGTAGTACAAAAGCATCACAGAAATAGAAAGCAGATTTTCAAGACATTTCAGTTTTTTATGGATGAACTGTACAAGCCATGATCACAGAAAAACAATGTACCGGTATGTCCACAGATGTATAAGGCAGTAGCATATATCTCATATTTCAGTCAAAAACTATGGCCCTATTTTAATTAATTGCTTTTTCTGCTTACAGTATACAGATAACGCTGGGCATTAATCCTACTCTTTGAACGGATACTGTAAAAATGCTGTCTTCTGCTTCTCTTGATTGATGATACCATATAGCCTCATATTTTACCTAATAGTAAAACTCTCCATCACAGTAATTTCTTAATCCATGTTTGCAGGAAATTAAATCAAACTCATCCTTTGGCCCAGGACAATACATTTTTTTTTAGATCTGCAGCAAATTTCAATCGGGAAAATTTGACTCAAGCAGTTGTAACGGTTGGACAGATTTGCATTTCTACCTGGACATGCAGATCCATTAATAATTTCAATATGGAGGATTGACATAGGGCTTCAGAACACCATATTAAAGTATTAACATCTGTCTGACTGTTTTCTTATATGGCTCTCAACATCATAATATCTTGAAAGGCAGGTTAAATACAGTCCCGCTTTATCATCTCAATTTTACATTTTGGAACACCGAGCCGCAGACAGGGTGAGTGCCTTGCTGAAAGTTGAACCATATGATAATGACAAAGCTGAGACTGGAACTCTTGAGCACTTGGTCTTCAAATCTCTGTTTAAACCACAAATTTTACTGCCTCTCCAACAAGGACACACACAGAAATGCATTTTTTAGGTTATTCCATGTTTGATTTTTACTCTCCATTGTTCATACATCTCTGCTTCAATATTTTTTTTCTGTCAGATTTGTTCTTTTCCACTTTGCTTATAAACAAATCTCGACCTTAACCAGAGCACAGTTACTGCTCCTCTTACACACAGGCAGTTGGTGCAAACTAAATGAAATGAAAGGCATGCCATCCTGCTGATACCATATAAAAGTTCAGAGCTGGCAATATTTCTAATGGATAGTGCTGGAATATTTTCTGAAGCAGAGAACAATATTTGGGAGGTGTGTGTGGGGAGGCGGGGGAGATTCCTTTCACTAAAACATTATTCTCCGCAGACTTAAATCCACAGGATCATTGCTGTTATGCCAGTAGATAAATTGATTCGCAGTATTTCTCTCCTATTAAGTAATGTACTAGCATAGTTTGTTCAGCGATGCTTAAACACTGCAAATTAACAGTGAAATCCTGGCCCATTGAAATCAATGGGAGTCCTGCTACTGACTTCAAGAGAAGGAGGATTTTACCATATATATATTTCCAAAAGCAAAGTCAGTCACAGTATTTGCAACTCAAATATTCCAGTATAAAATAAGGACATTTAAAAAAAAGCAACAACCACTATAACATCAATAATGCTTAGCTTTATGCACTGTGAATGATTTCAGTGAGAATACTCAGAGGGTCTAATTCAGGAAAGTATCCCTCTTCAGGAAAGCATAGAAGAATATGTTTAAATAAAATTGAAGTGAATCGGACTTGAACACATGCTTAAAGTTAAGCATGTTCAGAAGTGCTTTCCTGAATAGGGGAAACAGTATGGGAATTAAATATATGTGTAAATCTAGGCAACTAACGTACACATATAGCATATATAGCTATATAATCAAAGTTGTTTTAAAGTATAAAGAGTATAAATGTTTTAACGAATGCTGCAAATTTCATATTTTAAAACATTCACATTATTTTTGTTTGCTTGCAAATCACTCAATAAATTCCACTCAGAGAAAGTGAAATATGTCACATTTCAGCTTCATGATGTACCACAGTTGAGTGATCTACTGTTCTACTAAAAAACAGAGCTCACCATGGAAATGCTGACGCAATCTTAATGACTATGTCAAATAACTTGTTGCCTGCAATATTGTATTTATCATATGACCATACATTATTTTGTTTCCTGATATATTAAAATTCTCCAAAGAGCTTTCAATGTAAACAGATTTTAAATTTTATTTCACAGCACATGTCTTAGTTGTATGGAAAGCCTGACCTTTAACAGAGAGACTAGTTATTCAATCAACACATATAATAGACTGTATTACACATGCACCGAAAGTCTAACTACGGTGTCGGTGATAAAAAAACATCGACTGTAAAGAAAAATCTAAGCCCTTGTTTAAAAATGAAAACAACCAACAACACAGTTCAGCAGCAGAGAAGGATAAAGAAATGATAGTAATCCTCTTGCTCCTCACATGAACTACAACAAGCCATTTGAGTGAGACTTTTAAAGCTGAAAATTGTCCATCAAAACACAAAATAAATTCCTCTAATCCTTGTGCCACAAATTACTAATCCATCTGGAAAGCTAAATGTGGTGTGCATGTTTACAAGGGTCTAAATATCATCTGACAGAAAGGCAACTAGGTTAGTAACATGTACCCAAATAAATAAATAAATAAATAAATAAAACGTCTGAAACAGTTTGACCATACAGTAAGCAGGATTTACAAAAGTACTTACAGCTCTCAATCTCCAGTGTGCAGTTTTGTTCATCCAGCGGGTATCTTCGTAGATCCATCATACAAGCAGCTGTTGTTGTAATTCTAGAAGAGAATCATATATGAGGGCAATTGTTATTATGTGCGATTCATATCTCTGTTTGATTAAACGGAGTTGAAACAACAGAGAATGGATTCTGCATGATAAGCAATTTTGCCTCTTGGCTTATTACTAAGATATTGCATGTGCTGGCTATTCGTAAGGGTATGGTACTACTAATCTAGTTTATGGAAGCAAACTCATATGCCAATTTGGTGGACAAGTGGACAGTTTATTATATTTATATGTTCTCCATCACCATAGTATCTCAGAGCCTCACAATCTTCAATCTAGTTATACTGACAACATCCCTGTGAAGTAAGGCAATATTATTATCCCCATTTTACAGATGGGGAACTCAGGCAGAGAAAGACTAAGGGTATGTCTACACTGCAAAAAGGTATATTCTTAACTCAAGTTAGCAACCCCATGTGACGTAACCTGAGTTAAAATAGTAGTGAAGACATGGTGACAACTTTTAACTCAGGTTAGCAGCTCAAATTCAACCCCATTCTCTCCTATAGGCTGTTACTTGAGCTGCTAACCCGAGATGCTGTGTCTTCACTGCCATTTTAACCAAAGTTAGGAACACACCTTTTGTTCCAGTATATTCACTTGTACCTAATCCTGCCTAAGGTCACACAGGAAGTCTGTGGCAGAGCAGTGAACTGAATGCAGGTCTCTCAAGTCCTAGGCTAGTGCCCTAGCCACTGAACCCCGCCTCTTCTCAAGTGGAGTGCTGTTCGCTGCCTTGAGAGGCACCATGGTTTCATTCCCAGCTTTGATTTATCATTTTCCTGATGAGAGTAACCAGCTGGATCATGAGTCAGACAGACGTCCCACAGATTCTCTTTGCTCACCAACTGGGTGATCCTATGAATTTCCTTAGTGCCACTGAATAGTGCCAAATTAGTGTGCGTAAAACAGGCTTTGCATAAAAGACAATTAACAAATAATATTTATTCTGCACAAATGCATATAAAACTCAATTCTCCATTCTCTCTTACACTCAATAACACTGTGCAAATGAAGGCTTATTTTAGTGGTGCATCCTCACCAGCAGAACAACAAATATTTTCAGGACTGTTTTCACAAAGTATTTAGAACGTATTTGTGCCTTGACATTACACTAACATTAACATGTGTCAATTGTGCCTTTTAGATGTTGTTAGAAACATCTGTACCATCAAAAATCATTTACTGCTAGATTTCAGGGAGGAATAGCCCTGAGCTGAATGTGAACCAATGCACAGAGCACAGCAGCAATATTTTATTCTTAAATCTTTCTATTGTGTAGACAAAATCAATTTTTGGTCTTTCTCCCCCACCCCCAAACCACACAATGTTGTATAGAACTCCACTGCACGTGAAAAATAGTACATTTTGGAATCTGCCAGTATACACATGAAACAGCTATGTTCTATCCTCCTTCTAACTTGGGATGTGGGAACCCTTCGGGATTAGTTTACAGATTGATAAACTTTTCCGTGAGATGTACATAACTTCTTTTCTCTGACACAGTACTGACCCTCAGTACGTGCGCTAATATCCATGGGGAGAAGGAATAGGAAAGGGCATGAGGCCTAAACTTCCTCCAGTTGGACTCTTCTTCAAGACCTAGGAAACCCCTCCATTGCTGGGCTCCATTTTTCCATCTCTAAACATCATGGCCTACTTCCAGTCCCAATGACTTATTTAGAAGCAAGAACCATAGCAGTGCCTGGAGAGACCCAAAGATCACTCAAGACCCTTTAGCAATCCTCTCGGGGCAAATATGGCCTTTGGGGCAGTATAACCACCTCACCAGCACCCTTTTTGGTATCATAGCCCCAGAAATAGAGTTGCCTGAGCACGACAGAGATGCTAAAAGGAGCAAAAGGAAGCTCAACTATATAAACTCTAAAATTGACAACCTCATTACTGGTGAATGAGCCCTTCAAGCATGAGCTGCCGGGTGAGGACTCAACAGAAAGCAGAGGCTGTAAACTGGATAAATGCTGGGAGGCCAATAGCTGGGTGTAGCTGTTGTGGTATGCTCATCCCAACAGCAAACACCAACTTTGCATCACATATAGCCATCAACTTAATGGGATAAATATGTTTTGTATTTCTGTAGGCTTCATTTTCACCATTTGATATCTCTCACAGTACCTTCCACAATGTGTACCATCTATAATGCTTAGTTCAGGTGAGACATTCTCCATGACCCAGAATTCCTGCATAATTTGGTACTGGGACTGCCTATCCATAGGAGACCAGATGTGGTCCAGTGCGGTACTGCAGCCTGTTCCTGGGCTGTCACACTCCTCCTAATTACTACAGTGACCCCCTCACTTTAGGTTTGCACCAGCCTCTTTATAATGCCTACATTTGCCTCTCCTACTCACAGCTCTAATCCTGACACTTTTCCTTTTTCTCTACATTAGTCCTATAAACACTCACCAAATCTCCTCTGTCTGTCTCTTTCAAATCTGTGCACACAAAGAGTGTGGAAGGTGGGTCTTTAATCTATGTATTGTCTATCTTCAGAGGAGACAGACTTCAAGCTCAATGCTGCTTGAGCACCTTAACATACATTTCCTGAGTTAGACATGCCTCTGGCACCTGGAGCAGCTCTCCAGCACTCCTGGCCCCTTCCAAAATTACTAGGTGGGCATCCATTCTCCAGGACCATGCCCCTGGCCCACTATGCAGACAATTCAGGAACAAAGAAGCAGCATCTTTGGGTACGTCTACACTACCAGCCGGATCGGCGGGTAGTGATCGATCTATTGGGGATCGATTTATCGCTCTGCCGTCGATTCCGGAACTCCACCGCGTCGAAAGGCGGAAGCGGAGTCGACGGGGGAGCGGCAGCAGTTGACTCTCCACCGTCCTCATGGCCAGGTAAATCGACCTAAGATACGCCGACTTCAGCTACGCTATTCACGTAGCTGAAGTTGCATATCTTAGGTCGACCCCCCCCCAGTGTAGACCTAGCCTTTGAAAATCACCTTCGTACTAAACTCTCTCTTTAACCTATAGATGGACACCCAAAGAGCTATTCTGACTCTGCCAAAGTTTTCAACAATGTTGATCTCAATTTTTCAATCAATGGGCATCACCGCATGTGCTTCAGCGGCTACTTCCTGCTTCAGAATACCGGGGCAGTGGTTGGAAGCCTAAAGAAGAGACCTGCCTGAAGGGGAAAGAAGAAGAGAGACAGAAGACAGCTGTTGAGTCCCATGAAGGGGGAAACTCCCGGAAGTAGAAGGGGTAAACAACTGAAGAAAATACCTGTCCAGACACTGAGGATTATTATAGGTTGAGCAGGTAGCACCATCTGTATTTAAGATTGTCTAACACTTTCCATTATAAGTGTTAATGGAACATACACATTACATTAAATGTTTTCTGTTTTCTGTGGCTATTAACTTTGCCATTCAGGCTAAAAGTGTTAATTCTGGGTGCCTGCCTCAGGCTGATTATTTTGGGGAAAGTTTCAGCAAAAATGTTTCAAATGTTTCCAATAATGAGACTAAGGACAGAAAAGTTTTGCATATGTTAAAAATATAAAACAAACCCTACAACTGTTTGGCTGAGAAGTTCTAGCACCTTCAGGCTTTAGAGAAGAGATTTGAAATTTGGCAGGAGGTTTGTTCTTGTGTCAGGGAAGCGTCCAACATTTGCCAAATTATAAGTTCACACATGTTCAGTATAGACTTCTTAAAATTTGGTAGCTACATTTTCTGAAGATTCTGTCAGCACTGAGCATGCCACATCCTCTCACAACTCCTATGTGCAGATCAATCTGTAGGTGTGCTATCCCCAGCAACTTTAATTCTGGTATTTCTTCATTTTGAGTGCTTGACTTTGCAACCTTAACATTGTTTTAATGTAATGTGTATGTTTGTGTGAGTATGTAATTACTACTTATAATACAAGAGCACCCAGAGGCATCAGTCAGGAGCAAAGCCCCACATATAATGCTGTATGAACACAAAGACAGTATTTTGCTTCCTCAGAAATGGAAGTAAGAAAGAATAGTTGGTGGTGAGTAGAGTATGGCCTTAATCAAACCTAAATAATAGTTTAGGATGATTTATTTCAACCCAGCTAGTTTGTTCATTCCTATCCACAGTGCAAATCAATGGAAAAATTATCTGTCCTTTTCTCTCCTCCTACTCTCCCCCATGATTTTATTTTGACTTTTATATTCTTTTACTCTGGTTGAAAGTACTGATAAGGGAAGACCTAGTCACCTCTCACATCTTCAAAAGAGTTACTTATTTTGAAGTAATTGCCTTTAGATGGCTACAGTTGACACACAACTCACATTAGTCTCGTTTGATACACTGAGAGATTAATGCTAGGTCATATAAACATTAACACCTTCAAATAGTGACTGCACCACATTCTTCAATGTTCTAGATACATGGATATCCACCCTATGCCTTTTTAGAGAGAAGAACCAATACCTGGTCATGACAAGAGAAAGGAACATTTGAAATGGACACACAACCTTTCCCCAAAACAATGATATTCCTCTTCCATAAACGCACTGAAAAGATTCTTTGTTTTTAAGTTATCTATGACAACTGACATGCATAAAACATGAAAAATACTTTGCAGAGCAGAGCCTTGAGAAATGACCATTGAAAAGGAATCTTAAAAATACCCACAACTTTCTGACTCTATACTACAGTCGTGAGAGGCACGCTGCTCTCAAAGAAATACTGTATGAAAGGAAATAACATATAAGCTGTCTGCTATTCTGATTTTTGATCTACTTTTAATGAAATAGAAGCCTTTTGATATTCCATTTTATGAACCTGCTAACAATGAAAATCAGTCTTCAGCAGTCTTCTTCATGATGCATGTTTCTGATGTAAAACCACTGCAGTGTATCAGAAGACAACACATTCTTCTACTTATTTTTGTTTAAGTTAAATTGACTAAATAAAACAGATCATGAAACATAAACCCCAAAAAGGAAACTGTACATTTAAAAATTGGCACAGTTAGG